TTTTTTTTTTTCTTTTTTTTTTTTCTTGGCTTCTTCTCTCCAAAGTGTCCCATTTCCTGGCGAATTAACCTGAGTCACCTGTTTCCTGTCCTTTTAGGTTGACACCCTACGAGTGGTACAGCCCCCACCCCTGCTCCCAAGGCCGCTGCAATCTCCTGGTGAACCAGTACTCTCTGGGCAACAGCCTGTGGTTCCCAGTGGGGGGGTTCATGCAGCAGGGCTCCACCATCGCCCCCCAGGCACTGTCCACGCGCTGCGTCAGTGGAGTCTGGTAAGGAGGGCACCCTCCCCTCCAGGGAGGCTTCTCGGGGCAGAAGGGGATGGAGGAGGAGTTTCTGCATGGAAAGGGTTGTTAAACGCTGGAAGGGGCTGCCAAGGGAGGTGGTGGAGTCCCCTTCCCTGGAGGTGTTCAAGGAACGAGCTCAGCGCTCTGGTCTGGGTGACGAGGCGGTGGTTGGACGAAGGTTGGGCTCGACGGTCTGGGGGGGCTTTTCCAACCTCAGTGGTCCTGTGGTTTTGAGAGGTGGAGAGCAGATTCAGTCCACAGGGGAACCTCAGGTTGTCATTTTCTCTTCCCCTCTGCCTAGGTGGGCATTCACCTTGATCATCATCTCCTCCTACACGGCCAACCTGGCCGCCTTCCTCACGGTGCAGCGCATGGACGTCCCCATCGAGTCCGTGGATGACCTGGCTGACCAGACCACCATCGAGTACGGCACCATCCACGGCGGCTCCAGCATGACCTTCTTCCAAGTAAACCCCATTCTTTGGCTAAAGGGGGTAGGGAGTGCAGAGGGCACCCTTCAGTCACATTTGGGTGCCACTCCAGCCTCTCGTGCCCGTTTCATTCCAGTTTCTGGCACGGAGGGGATTTCTGGAGAGATCCCTGCCTGCTTGGTTGCACAGGAGTGGGCTAGACCCACAGTGTGAGGAGATGGGGAGAGTGGTGGGAGAGGGAGGGAAATTTGACAAGGAAGTCAAATTTTCACGTGTCTCCATGTGGTTTTGATGTGATCTTAGCTTTTACCTGAGAGTCTTTCAGCAATGAAACCTTTGCCAAGCCCAGGCAGGCTCACAGTTGTCACAGTGCTGGAATCCATGTGTGGTCAGTGGCACTAAAGATAAATAAATCAAATGTATGCAAAGTTATGTGGGCCATTTAGCCCAATTTAATTTTTATCTTCCCTGCTCTATTCAGAAGGGAAATAAATGAGTGAATCTTTTCTGCAGCGCTCTGAATGCACAAAGAACTGCTGGAGGATTATTTATTTATTACTTGTTGAAATTCCAAAAGGAGAGAAAGCTTTTCTCGCTTTTTTTTTCCACCCCCCTCTGAGTCTGAACTGAATTTGGAAGGCTGAGAAATCTCTGGAGTGGGCCTGAGCTTTTCAGCCCAACTTTACACTCTTCAGGGGTTTGGCAAGAAGCTACTTTTAGGCCAAGCCTTGCATGTGAAATGAGCTGAACAGAGCCCGAGTGACCCAAGGTGGTTGTGTACGAGGCGCTCGCTTAAGGAAGGCTTTCAAGTTTAAAGCCCTGGCTGTGGCTCTGCGCTGCCTGGCGGGTGCTGGAGTCCCTGGGATCAGAGAGGAAATTAGGAAGAGATGTTTTTGTACCATTTGCAGTGCTTTAGGCTGTGTTTGGATCCGTTTTCCCCCGGTGGAAGGACGGCGGGTCAAAGCAGCGATGGATTCCACAGCCTGCCTCCATCACCCCTCCCTTCCCTGCTGCGTGAAATGTGTGTCCACTGCTGAAGCACCTTGCCTTGTAACCTGTCCTGGCAGCATTTCCCCTGACAAAAACACACAGGTTTAGCATTTGAAAGTGCAGTGAACTGGGAAGAAACACCCCCCCTGCTTGTCTGTCTCTTGCCCAAGTGACTGCACCCAGAGGACAGAGCTGGACAGATGAGGACAGGAACTAGGTCAGCAGCAGATTCCCTAAAGCTCTCCAGCATCGCTTACCAGCCACAGAAAATGAGCCCTTGACAGTGTGAAATTCCTAATGGAGACCAGAGCATGTTTATATTCAGTCTTTGTGCAAGCAGGTTTCACTCTTTGCTCAGTACAGGCAAGAGAGATTAACCACAGTCGGCTTCCTCTGGATCAAACCAGAGTCTGAGGGGCTGGTGGAGCTTTAGTTTATTGTAATCAATGAAAAGATTTAAGTTCTCTTCAGCAGATGCTTTGATTTGCCTCACAAGGGTATGGACCAAAATCTGGATTCAAGGGGCTCCAAAGAGCTTTAGTTCTGCTCTCAGTGCCCTCCTTGGGGTGCTGGAGGACTGTTAGGACAAGGTTCCAGTGATAGTCAATAGGGTGTGACTTCTTCAGAGGTTTAAATCAGACAAGCACAAGCTGTTTCTTCTGTCTTTTTTTTTTTTTGGTCTGTTACAGAAACTATGAATTATTCTAAAACTGAATTTATGCAAAGAGCTTTGTCGCTACTGGAGTTATAGGCATGCCTTTCATGCCCAACTTTGCCAACAAAGTCTCAAACCCACCAAGGTGTTTGGGCCTCTAAACCTTATTGATACAAGTGCAGGTTAGAGTCTCAAACCCACCAAGGTATTTGAAGGTTAAAATCTCAAATCCACCAAGATGTTTGAGCCTCTAAACCTGATTGATATAAATGAAGGTTAGAGTCTCAAACACACCAAGATATTTGGGCCTCCACCAAGATATTTGGGTCTCTAAACCTCACTGATATAAATGAATGTTAGAGTCTCAAACCCACCAAGATACTTGAAGGTTAGAATCTCAAATCCACCAAGATATTTGGGCCTCTACACCTCATTGATATAAGTGAAGGTTAGAGTCTGAAATCCACCAAGAGACTTGAAGGTTAGAGTCTTAAACCCACCAAGGTATTTGGACCTCTAAACCTCGTTGATATAAATGCAGGTTAGAGTCTCAAATCCACCAAGATATTTAGGATTAGAGTCTCAAATCTACCAAGATATTTAAGGTTAGAGTCTCCAACCCAACAAGGTATTTGGGCCTCTAAACCTCGTTGATATAAATGAATGTTAGAGTCTCAAAACCACCAAGGTATTTGGGCCTCTAAACCTTACTGATATAAATGCAGGTTAGACTCTCAAATCCACCAAGATACTTGAAGGTTAGAGTCTCAAACCCACCAAGGTATTTGGGCTTCTAAACCTTATTGATATAAACGCAGGTTAGAGTCTCAAATCCACCAAGATATTTAAGGTTAGAGTCTCAAATCCACCAAGATACTTGAAGGTTAGAGTCTCAAACCCACCAAGGTATTTGGGCTTCTAAACCTCATTGATATAAATGCAGGTTAGGCATCTAAACCCTTTCTGAACCTGGCACCAGATCTGCTTTGACTCCTCTCCCCTTTTCATAGTAGGTGTCTAGTTTGGGGTTTAGTTTAGGGCAATCAATGCTCCTCCTCCCTCAGCTGTTGCTGGCTCCTTCCTCCTGCAGAACTCCCGCTACCAGACCTACCAGAGGATGTGGAACTACATGTACTCCAAGCAGCCCAGCGTCTTCGTGAAGAGCACGGAGGAGGGGATCGCGCGCGTGCTGAACTCCAACTACGCCTTCCTGCTGGAGTCCACCATGAACGAGTATTACCGTCAGCGCAATTGCAACCTCACGCAGGTCGGGGGCCTTCTGGACACCAAGGGCTACGGGATTGGCATGCCCGTCGGTAGGCAGTGAAGACAAATTCTAGTCCTTCTCAGCTGTCGGCAGAGGACCGGAGCGTTTGAAAGGCTGAACCGGCTCTGGGGCCGCCGTCGCGTCTCACGGCTCTGCCCGGGGGCGTTTTTTGGGGGGGTCTCGGCTGCCCGAGGTGCCCGCTCGGCCCCTGCTCTGGGCCAGAGCCACGTGACACGCGACTGCGGCTCTCGAGATGTGATTTCGTGTGAAAGATGTCTCAAAATTGCTGCTTATTTTCTGCATATTATGCTCTCTGCTGATTGTCTCCTTCCCGAACCAGTGTTTGTGCCTCGTTTTGTGCTCCCTGTTTTAGTCCCAGAAGTGCTGTGAAAGTAATGCTGCTGTAACTGGAGTAGTTTTTAGCACGAGTTTCTTAACAGCTGGTGGTTCTTAAAACTCCAGGACAGAGAATTGGGCAATTCAGTGGCTATCTCAGGTAATAATCAGGTTTAACAAATGCAGGGGGTTTGTGTTTCACTGTGTGAGAGCCAGCAAGAGAACATCATCTCCTAGGGCAGCACGGAAAAAGGATGTAGTAGTTGTTATTCCCGATCTTTCCTCCAGTCCTGACATTTAAGCACTGGCACTTAGCAACACAAAGTTAAGGTGAATTACATAAGGCCCATCACACAGTCTCTCCAGTTTAGGTAACGTGGGTAAACTCGTAAAGTCACCTGACTGTGAGCACAAACCCGCACTCTCAGGGCTAAATCTGTTCTGACATTGTCTTGTTAAACAGTGAAACTGTAGCAGATAAGAAGAGCAGAAAGCTGCTCGCTGGGACAATAGTGCAGAGTTACTGGGAGAACTGGGGTCTTTCCCACGGCCCTTCCTCAGGATCCCTGGTAGCAGACACCAGGGTGCACTAGAGCTTGGCACCAAGCACAGAAGTGAGCAGCTCTACCATGAACATTTGGGCTTGGATGATCCCTGGGGTCCTTTCCAACTCAGAGTATTCTATTCTGTGACCAGCTTGAGGCAGGGAGTGCTGGAGCAAGGTCCAAGTTGTAGGTGGAATGACAACAGAGGGACCTCCGTGGTCTGGAGGTGTGATGTTGAACTGTGTGATGTTGAACTGCCCATTCAGTCCCTGCAGCCAAAGCTCCCCTGGTGTTGGACCTCCTGAGCTGGTTTCAGCTGTGTGGCTCTTGATGGGCAGGAAAAATACCTTCTGCAGGGGACGTTATCCAGCTTTCCACAGCTTACATGGAGTGATGTCCCCTCCAAACCCTTCAGAGACGAGCTGTTGTAGCTGGACACACGAGTGGGGAGGAAGAGTGGGGAGGAAGGCTGGCCCAGGGGGTGCCCTACCACGTCCCTCTTGGTGTTGCAGGCTCTGTGTTCCGAGACGAGTTCGACCTGGCCATCCTCCAGCTGCAGGAGAACAACCGCCTGGAAATCCTCAAGCGCAAGTGGTGGGAAGGAGGGAAGTGCCCCAAAGAGGAGGACCACAGAGCCAAAGGTGAGCCACACCACTCCACACGAGTGTTTCTGCCTGAGAATCGCTTTTTCCCCTTCTCCTGACCCGAGATTCCTTCCCTCACAACTCAAGGAGAAAGCCAAACAGCTCCGCCGCGCCTCACGCTGTGTGTTTTTGCCTGGGGCAGAGAGAGCGGGAGCAACCAAATGACAAATATTGGAGGCATATGGAGGGTAAATTAGCTCCTAATGAATGCCTGGGAAAATGGATGGCTGGAGGGATCAGACCAAAATCCTGGGTTCCTTGAAGGGAGATGGATCTCCACCACAGGCCTGCTGGTTAATGGCTCCGAGTGAAAGCATCTTTTAAACAGCCAGGGCAAGGGACACAAGGACTTTATAAGTACATCTGTAAACTGAGGAGCAAATTCTTTTGGGTAATGCTATGCAAATTGCCATAAAAGCTACCACATTAGGCTGATGTCCCAGCGTGAGAGCAGTTGCCAGCTTAACACAGTTGCTGCATTTTTTAGTCCTGGCAGTCGCCCTCTTCTCAGCAAGTGTTTTCTGGGAGGCCAGCAGGTCCCCCAGTTAAAAGGATGATCTTCTGACCCTTCTGAGGGCACAGACAGAGAGCTAAACTGGGTCTGTGGTAGCTATTTTGGTTTTATTACCTTGCAGCAGCAGTAGGTGTGTCTGTGCAGTTCATGGATGGGACCCCACGGGGCTGTGAGTTGATGCTCATTTTTGGGCTGTGCTGCACTACAGGCAGTCCCAGCTATTAATCTCAAGGCTGAAGGTGTTGACCCAGTGTAAGACATCAGGTTATAGCTATTAAAGAAGTTACTTTGAAGGCAAGCAGGCACATGGGAGACTTTTCCTCCATGGACCGTGCAAAAAGCAGCTCTGAAGTGGAATCTAGGCTGTGGGCTGGTTTGGGATGGCTTTGGAAGGGGGCAGCTGGGAAGCTGGGCTGTTTCTGGCACTGCTTGGTGTGTTCTGTGACCCTGGACAAGTTTTTCTCCTGGTTTGTTCTCTCTGTGATGTGAGTTTGGGAAATGGCAGGAGGAATTACCTCTCTGTGAGCTCGGGAATGGGTGCCTGAGGTAGCACTCAGGCAGAATGACAGAAGCATGTAGAGAGAGCTGCTGGCCCTAAATTCAAATTTGAGAGCTGCTGGGAGGAGAGGATGGCCTTTATCTTGGGTCTAAACTGTGACTGTGGGCTGTGTTTTCTGCCTTGCAATTGCTGTGGAAGCATCTCTGCAAAGGGCTGATTTACAGAGGCACTGGACTGCTCTGGAGGTGATGCCAAAAGAATGAAGGAGGAGGAGGGAGCAGTGTGACCTCCCAAGTTTTAGAACAAAGCAGGTCAGCGATTTACAAGGATTTTGGTGAGATTTTATGTCTAAAAGACACGCTGAGATTAAGTCAATAAATCATTGATTCCTACACTTTGATTTAATGCTACAGAAGGGAGAGGAAGATTTTTATAGATGTTCTAGTTGACTAATGGCCTCAGTCAACCCAGTGCAAAGCACCACATGCTTTTTAGTAATCAATCCAATCAGGGGCCAAAACCCAACAAGAACAGGAGAGAGAAGAGCCAGATCCTGGACAGCAAAAGCTGAGGCCAGCACTGCTCCCCAGCTCATCTCACAGTCCAGCTCTGCAGGGCCAGAGGGAGGCACAGGCTGCAGTTTTGGGGCCAAGAGTTGACCAAAGCTCAGTCCAGGTTCTTGAGGGGTGGGTTTTCCATCCACTGGTGAACCTTCTGGCTTGCAAGCTGTGGTAGTTATCCCACTGTAAGCCAGTTGTCCAAGGGAGGTGAGTCCCACGGAAGGGGCTGTTTCCTCCTAGAGAGCACCCAACCCATAACCCACCCCTCGGTGGCAGGGACCCCATTCTCTCACCCTACAGTGTGAATGTGTTGGGTTCTGCTCTGCTTTGGACCCTCTCCTTGCTACTGCAGTACAGGCAGCTGCCATCATTTCCCCCCAGCACTTTGTAATGCAATCAAAGGAGCTTTTCTCAGTGCCAGCTTCCTTTAAAGCCTTTTCCTGTCTTCTTCATCTCTGCTTCTTTAACAACCTTGCTCATCTCCCTTTGAGAAGTTCAAAGCAAGCGGAGCTGGGTGAATAATTTGCAGGGATTAATGTGCCCGATTGATCTCGCAATTCTTCCCTCTTGTTTTCAGTTTGTCCACAAATTGCTTTGTGCTTCCCTTCAATGTACTTGCTGTTTATCTGCAAAATCATCATTTCTGAGAAGGGATCTTCGATCCTGCAGTTATTGCAAGTCATTCACTTTGCCATCTGAGTCATGAGGGCAGCTATTAATAGGACAGTGCTGGCTCTGTGGTTTTGGTCCCTGGCTGGGTATCTGCAATGCCAACAAAACAGCAGAACTTGGGATTTCTGTGCAGTGATACTTTTACAATTTATGTCGAGTCTGCCTCTCCACATTGTCCCTCCTGCTTTGTTTTAGGCCTGGGGATGGAGAATATTGGTGGAATCTTCGTGGTGCTCATCTGTGGCTTGATCGTAGCAATTTTTATGGCAATGCTGGAATTTCTGTGGAGCCTTCGACACTCTGAGCAGTCAGAGGTAGGACCTGAAAGTGCCCTGAGGGGATAGTGTGTGTTTATTGCTATCTGTGGGATGCCCAGTGGGGTGCTCTGGAGCCTCACACAGGCTGAGGAGCATTCCCAGCCTTGACACCCCAAACACAGGAGCAGGTTTGGTCCTTTGGGCAGGGTCTAAAATCCATGAGCTTCTCGTGCACTCCTGCTAAGAGAGGGGCTGTAGGGATGCTCCAGGGCCTCCTGAAGGGTTCAGGGATGTGTATAACATCCTGGAGGTGGGATTTCTACCTGCAGTGGGTTTGGGTCCTGTGTTGGTATGGGGATCCAGAACACAGGAGGGTCTCTGATGAGAGGCAGAATCTGTTGGGTTAAATCAATGTAAATGTCCAAGTATTGATGTTGAAACCCAGTGGCACCGAGTCCGTAAAATTTGGCATCAGAATCATGTTACAGAATCATAGAATGGCCTGGGCTGGAAGGGACCTTAAAGATCATCCAGTTCCAGCCCCTGCCACAGGCAGGGACACTTTCCACTATCCCAGGTTGCTCAGGGCACCATCCAGCCTGGCCTTGGACACTTCCAGGGATGGAGCAGCCACAGCTTCCCTGGGCAACCTGTGCCAGGGCCTCCCCCCTCATCCCTCCAGCCTGCAGAGCAGACCCAGCCCCGTGTGTCCCTCAGCTCCCTCGGGTGAGCAGCACGGCTCCTGTGTGTCCCCCCCAGGTGTCGGTGTGCCAAGAGATGGTGACGGAGCTGCGCAACATCATCCTGTGCAAGGACAGTTTCCAGCCCCGCCGGCGGCGCGGGGGGCCGGTACGGACTCGCCCCGTTATCCCGGAGGAGCGCCGAGCCCGCAGCACAACCACGCTCAGCAACGGGAAGCTGTGCAGCGGGGGGGAGCCAGACCCCCTGGCACAAAGACTGGCACAAGAAGCCGCCCTGGTCGCCCGGGGGTGCACCCACATCAGGGTGTGCCCCGAGTGCCGCCGCTTCCAGGGGCTGCGGGCGCGGCCGGCCGCGGGATCGCCCGCGCGGAGCGAGGAGAGCCTGGAGTGGGACAAGACCACCAACAGCAGCGAGCCCGAGTAACGCCGGGGACCGGGGGGCGCAGGGGAGGGGGCGAGAGGGTCCTGTTCCATTTTACAGAACACGGACTTGTACAATGTCGACTCGTTTTTAAACCACTAGCGGTCACCCGGCTTCCCCGGGGCAAGGCGGACCTTTGGGCCTGGCCGGAGGGTTTCGGTGTCCCGGGGGACACGGGGCTGGCTGAAGCCTGGTGTGGCAGGAGAGAGGTCCTCAGGCTGGTCTCCGGTGGTTGTCTCCGTGCCACCGAAGGAGGAAGGACGTGGTGGTAACTGGTGTAGCAGGTATTGCCCACCCAGGGTGGAGGCAAGAGCGGTTCTTGGAACTTCTCCGCCACGCCCAGGTCAGGAGAAGGGACACCGGCGCTGTCTCTCCACCAAACAGACTTACCAGGGGGTGTTCTCGACGGGCGGGGGGAGGGAGTTTTTATTTGACATGGGCAAGGGACGGGAAGGGGAGGACTCATTGCTTTGTTTTGGTTTAATTTGGGCACGTCAGGACCTAGTCTCCAAGGCACCAGGTTTCAGGTGCTGAGCTCTTCTTCCTTTTCAGGGTGTTGGCAGGTGGACTGAAGGAGGAAGGGAAGGGTGGGATGGGATGGGATGGGATGGGACATGCTCCCCATGAGAAGCAGCATTTGGTGAAAGTCCATCTGAGGAGTTGTTAAAATTACATATATATATAAATATATCTATACATAGATATATATATATTAAAATGCCAAAAAAAAAAAAGAAACCAACCAACAAACACAGTGAACTCAAAGAGGCCTTGAAACGCCTGGAATTTCAGGGGTTCTGTGTCTTTTGTTTCGTTCTGGGGTTACCTTTTGCTTTTTTTCTTCCTTTCTGTTTTTGGGATGAGGGTGGGGGAGCCTTTTGAGGAAGGTGAGGTGGGAGCAGGTGAGAGTGGGGAGCACTGGAGGGGAGGGGGGGCTGCCCTTCCCCACCAGTGGAGGGAGGTGGTGTTGGTACCCCCAGCGTGTCCACAGCCCGTGCCCTGCACGCTCCTGAGGTGACTCTGAGCTCTGCCCCAGGCCCAGGAGCTCCCCATGTGACCCACAGAGCACCCTCAGCTTCGAGGGTGACTCACAGCCCTTGTCCAGCAGCCACACAGCATTTGGGAAAACCATTAGCCCGGGATCTCATGTAAGGAAAACATTTACTTCCCTGGAAACAGCAGCAGCAGCTCACCCTCTGCTTGGAACAGACGTGGGGGTTTACACTGACGAATTTAATTTTCTGATTGAAAAACAAATTCTATGCAATTTCTGATTGTAAAAGGAAAGAGATGACAATGGAGAGGGGCAGGGGAGATAAAGCCTTGAGTGAAGGTACATCCTGTTCTTGAATTGTTTTCTTTTCTTTTTGTCTTGAATGTACTGAAATAAAAGATGTCCTTGTATAATTATGCTTTTTTTTTTTTGCCTTTTTTTTTAATTCTTCTTCTTTTTCCCTCCCTATCTGCAGTCAGAAAAGTTGAGAGGCAGTTTGAGGCCCGTCTGCTCAGGGAGAAACCCAGCAACTGAGAGGAAGGAGGTGCAGGTCTCTGCTGCCTGAGTGTGTCCACACTGTCCACATCCATGGTGCTGCTGTTACCTGTGGAAAAAGCAGAAAAAAGGCAAAGGTCAATAAAAGGAATCCCAAATACGTGGTGATAAGGGGGAGAAAACCCCAAAGTGACAGCAGTGAGGCTGCCCGGGGTGGGCAGGTTCCCATGGAATGTGGACCATGGCAGCTGCATCCTTCCCAGACCTGCTGGGTGGATCCCAGTGGACCAGGGGATGAGGGGCAGGCCCAGCAGGTCAAATGCAGGAGCCCATCTCCAGCAGCTGTTCCTGAGGAGGGTGTGCAGGGAATGGGGTGTGCTGCTGTGCTGATGGGCACGTGAGGGTTGTTCTGTTGTTTCCAGCAGGTTGTGGAAAGAAACACCTGCCCCACAGGGACATTAAAACATGCAACAAGGAGGAGGAGAGGATTTAGAGCTTGTTATGCAGGATGTCACATCAGAGAGGTCCTAAATCCACAGGATGTTCCCCTCTCCCTGACTAAACAGAGCAGTGAGATAAGGCAAGACCTCCCCAGAGCCCAGGAATCCAGAGCCATGGGATGAGAGAGGCAGGTCCTCAGCTGAGGTAAGTCAGTAAAACTCCATCCCTGCACTGCAAGGAGCCAGGTTGGGCTTTCAGAGCCCTGACAGCAGCACTGGGGACATCTGAGTGTGCCCGTGTCGTGCCTAAAGGCCGACATGTTTTTACGAGCAGCGGAATATATTCATCAAAAAGAAGCTGCTTTTTAAAATTTATTTACAGATTAGCAGAAGAAAAGGCTCCATGAATCATTTATCAGACCTGATGTTTTTTTTTCACCGCTTCTACGCAGTGAATAAAGAGAAATCTTGACAGAGCCAGACATCATTCTGCATCTCCAAAGATCTTCCAGTCATCTGCTCAGACAGAGGATGTCAGGAAAAAAAAATGATGGGAAACCACCTGGTTTCTCAGTGTCTTTGCTTTTTATCTCTCCTCCAAGCTTGCCCCACCCACATGGTATTTTAGATCTGGGTCTGTATTTTAAGGAGATTTGTTACATGTCCCTTTTGCCTTCTTCTCTCTTTTTTAATTTATTATTTTTTCTTACGTCCAGAGGTTTTGCACTCAGAGCAGAAACGGACCTCAGAAGAAGAGGATAAAAGCTGCTGTAATTTAGATGCCTTTTCCAATGTCTCTGTGTGCTGTATTTTCTGCTCCCTGGTAAATCCTCCCAGGTTTCACACCCGAGGGAGCAGTCAGCATTATTCACGTGCCTGGGCTTGTGCCCATATATATACATTTGTGTGCCCAGGTGGGTTTGCATCTCACACGTTCCCCCCCTCTCCCCAGTTTGATTCTCATCTTTGAAACTGTAGTGGGGGCTCTTTTGCTCAGCCAGTCCCAATGCTAATGCAGTTCAAGATCTGGAGCAGTTTGCCGTGCAAAAAGGCACTTTCCCAGTATTGCTGTCTCCTGATAAAACTCGAGTAATTCTAGTAAGATATCTCTGCAAATTCCACCGGGAGCCAAAGATTAGATCGATTAAAATGTAATACTTTGCTTTATCCCTCCTAAGTGGTTTGTTTGAGGCTCCTGCAGCCCCCTCTGTTCGGGAGCCCAGCAGTGGGGCCAAGGGCTCACGTCTCTCCCTGTGGTGGCAGCCAATTCCCCAGCCCTGGCTCAGTCCACAGCAGTCTGGCAGGTTCCTCACTAAAAGGCCTGGAATCTCTCCCCCCATGTGCTAAACCCCATGTTTGTGTTGTTTTTCCAGGCAGTTCCATTGATAAAAAGCCGTTTTCTCCCCGGAGGTTGCATGGGTGAAGGTATTAACGAGGCTTGGACTAGCCCGGGGGCACTTACTGAGCTGAGTGGCACATAAAATAGTAAAAGGGTTGTTGTGTGAACACAGGAGCCTGCAGGACCTTGGGAAGAGAGATGGTGAGCTATAAATTATAAACTAGAGACTCAGCCCTCAGTGGTCCTGAGGCAGGAATCTTTTTAACCACTTGAGATCCACAGGAATCCTCCCCGCTCCTGCCCTGCCAAGTCCTCTTCTCTCCTTGAGCCCCAAGTGCCTCACCAGGTAAGTGACCAAAAAGGTGGAGGAAGAGGCAGAGGGAATAGCTCTTGCTTTGCTTTGTATTTTTGGCAGAGATCCTGAGTTACAGGAAGGATTTGGAAGGGGTCTGAGTCCTACATGAGCTGGTGGAGATCCCACCAGCGCTGGGAACTGCAGCTGTGGGCACAGGGTAACTGGGGCAGACACAGGAATGTGGGTAACTGGTTTTGGTGGTTCTGGGGTAACAGCTCTGAATGGCAGAGACATTCCCTTGGGAAAAGGAAGGGACCTGTGGGTGAGACTGCTTGGAGGAGGCAGTGACTGGTGACTGGTGTCTAATATGAAAGAGCAAATAAGCAAAGATGGACTTTGGATGGTTTGGGGGGAAGCTGTCATGATCTGGCTATGAAAAAGCTGGTGTGAGTGATCAAAGCCCCCTCATCAGCTCATTTATTTTAGCTCTGAAAGTAATTACCTGCAAGACAGAGTGTTTCTCTCTTCTACTTTGCTTGTGCATCCAATGAAGGTGATGAAATTTCTTGCAGTGACTTCGACTAGAGGGAAAAGGTAGCACTGCCCTTCAGGAGGAGAGGGAGGCACCTCTCCAGGGCAAGGGAAAGAGCCCAGTGACCCAGAGGTGTATGTGGGGGCAGAACCAGGAAAAGGAACTGCAAACTGCCATCAGAAATGGTCAGAAGTAAGCCTGGGCTCATATGTGACACAAGTCCACTGAGTATCTCCTAGTGAGGAGCTGCAGTTTGAACAGAGCAGAGAAACAGCTCAGTGTGGCCAAACGCCTGCTGAACAGAGGATAAAGCACCCACAGTTCCAGAAACCCCATTAGGGTCTGATGGCCACTAACTGATTGAAAATACAGAGCTGGACTCTTCTGGGCACAAAGTGCCACTGATGAATTCAGTATAAATAGGCTGTTCTGGAACTCGACACCACACTGGGTGGATCAGCTGGCTCGGACAATGGGCAGGTTTGTGCATCCTTCAGGGAGGCTGGTTTTTTTTTTCCCCTCCATGGGGGAATCTGCTGTGCTCCATTTGAGTTATTAGTCTGGTTTTGTGGCAGGACTGCAGCATTTCATCCCAGGAAGCGTTCCAGGCGGCAGAGGAGGATCTGCAGCTGTCTGGGGGGGGACGTGTGGCCGTCCATCACCAGCACAAAGGGCCACACAGCAGCGGCTCCCCGAGAGCTCTGCTGAGCCCAGATCACGGGGAAAATGAAGGAAGCTTAATTAACAAAGGCTTTCTCCTCTGCTGTGTTTAGGTCTGCAGTTATCAGAGCAGTTCTGGCAGTTCTCAAAGACTGAAATGACAGTAGTTGGCTGTAAAAGAGATAACTGTCAGATTAGCTGGGACATATCTCTGCCGAGGTTTTCTATATCATACCTATCTTGAAGCATCTCCATGTATCAAAGGGACTAGTTGGCCATTTGCCTCCACAAAGTACCCTTTCCAACGTGATAAATAAGGCTCTGTTACAATGGAAAGGCATAACATTTCTTGTTTCTTGACTCAGGCTGTTTTGGAATAGTGGTTTTTTTTGCACTTTGATCAATATGTAGAAATGAATTTTTTCTGTTGTTTTCAGTGTCTCGTGTGTTGAGTGAAGGGTGCAAGGGACAGAAAATGTCTGTTGGGGTGTAAAGACAGGGAAAGGGCCATTCCTGGCAGGTGGAGGTTGTTCTCATGGCCCATCAGGGCTCTACATAGTCACATCCTCAGCTCCTCTGAGTCAACTGGGTTATGTCTTCTGGGGAGCTGGTCCACGTAGCTGCTGAAAATCCTGGCTGGGGTGCAGCCTGGAGCACAGAGA